AAGGGAGTGAACTAAAGAGACATGCAATGCTGTCCCAACAAGGAATAAGCAATGCCTACACCAGTCCTGTGTCACACACACAACAGCAAATCTTCATGGGTTGATACTTTCTCATGGTCGAAACCAGATAATATAATTTCACAAGACGCCTAATCATGACAAAGCAAGGCAAGTTTGTGACAGCAATTTCCTGGGAATAAGCCCCACTGAATAAATCTGAATAGCATTCTGAGGCCCTGGTCACACGGGAGGTTTAGGGCCGGAAGAAGGACGGATCGGGGGCGCGGCAAACGGGCACGATCCCACCGCAACATCTGCGAAGCGTTGCACACCCGTCCCCGATCCGGCCCTTCAGGCCGAAAATCCGTAGTTAAAAGAAACCACCTACACAGGTGGACTTACCAGAAAGGCCGCATCAAGCGCGGCCGTGGGATCGCCGGCACGTCCTTCTGCCGGCGCATCCGAGGCTCCTGGCCGAACTGTGCATGCGCACACATGCGCAGCCGGCTGTCTCGGTCTCCGGTCGGTGGCTTCCTCCCCGGCATCTGATCGTGCCGGGGAGCAACGGTGTGGCGGCTCAGGGGATCTATGTGATCCCGGCACCGCGTGTTTCTTTTGGTGCGGCTCTGAATAGCCGCACTTTGCCCGTGTTTTTTTCTGCCGTGTGGCAGGGACCTGAGTAGACCTGTTTAGAACTGCTCTCGGAGTGACCTAAGGATACTCCCAGTCAGGGGTCATTTCATAGAAAAAGAGCTAGGGGGGCTCATTAGCATATGCCACACCCCCTGACATCACCGGAAGTGTGTCCTCCCCACAGCCAACGGCGACCTCCAGCGGGCACCAGCAGGGAGCTCCAGGTCCCGCCCTCCCGCACCTCACCCGGGGGGGATGGCGTCCCCCCGCGTCCCCCCCCAAATGACCCCTGCTCCCAGTGCAATCCTAAACAGAGTTCTACCCTGCTAAATCCACCAAAGTCTTTGAAAGGGGCAACTCTTGTTTAGGACAGCACAGCTAATCTCACAAAGATGCAAGCATTATGTTCTGATGGGGGAGGGGAGATTAATACAAAAACTATCTGGCCTTCCGGGTAATTTTCCACTTATTTCATTACTAACTGCATGGGTTACTTTGGCTTTTTAAATGCCTGGGGGGAGGCAAAAACAGCACATATTGATTAGGGTGAAATCTAAAGACCAGTTTCATAATTGGACCATTCACAGCCCCGCGTGGGGGGCTGCATCCACGCATCGCTGGACATCATGCATTGGTTTTGCTCTTGCAAACATTTGGAATCTCTGCCGAAAAACACCCGCCCCTGCGAGACCTAATGCAGTTCCGCAGGGCTTGCAAAGTAGAGATGTTCCGCCGCCAGGCTTTTGGTTGAGGACAGCGACAAGTACCATCTCGTCTGGCGCTCCCTTCTCCCCCCCCCCCACTTCATCTTGCTCCCCCTCTACCTCTCCTGAAAGACAGGGACACAATCTTGGAACTGAAGTTTTAGCACCATCAGAGACTGTTTTAGTTATTGTTTGACTTGTTTTAATGTATTTTTTTAAACTGTTGTTAACATAAGAACGTAAGAGACGCCAATGTTGGATCAGGCCAAAGGCCCATCCCGTCCAACACTCTGTGTCACACAGTGGCCCGAAATACCAGGTGCCATCAGGAGGTCCACCAGTGGGGCCAGGACATTAGAAGCCCTCCCCCTGTTGACCCCCCCCCCAAGCACCAAGAAGACAGAGCATCACTTGCCCCAGAGCCCCTATCTATCCCTTGTGGCTAATAGCCACTGATGGACCTCTGCTCCATATGCCTATCTAATTCCCTTTTGAAGCCGTCCATGCTTGTAGCCGCCACCACTTCCTGTGGCAGTGAACTCCAGGTGTTAATCACTCTTTGGGTGAAGAAGGACTTCCTTTTATCCGTTCTAACCCGACCGCTCTGCAATTTCATGGAGTGCCCACAAGTTCTTGTATTGTTCACCGCCATGAGTTCTGTGTACTGAGAGAAGGGTGGTCTATAAATTTATATTATAAATAAATAAATGTATTGGCTTGTCCACAAAGGAAAGGTCTGTCTTAGAAAACCAGGTGGCTACTGGAGCTCAGAGTGCTTTTGCCCAGATCCTTCTGGTGCATCCGCTGTGTCCGTTCTGGGGTCAGTCAGATCTAGCCGTAGTGATCCATGCCTCAGTTACATCTAGATTGGACTACTGCAATGAGCTATACTTGGGGCTACCCTTGGAGAATGTTTGGAAGCTGCAGGTAGTGCTCGTCATGGCCGGCTACCGGAAGCATATGTCCCTGGTACTACGACAATCACACTAACAATCTGCTCCTGAGCCCAATTCAAGCTGTTGGTTGTGTCCTTTAAAGCCCCACGTCTTGGGACTCAATCGTCTGAAGGATGGTCTTCTCCCATACATGACTAGCCAGGAATTAAGATCGCAGGAAGATGACCTCCTGACCCATCCCACCAAATTAAAGATGCTCATTTGGTGGGTACATGACAGAGGGACTTTTCCATGGCAGCCCCATAAGTAGAGTTGCCAAGTCCCCCCGGGGGGTGGGGAAACCCCCGGCCCAGAGGCCCGTTCCCCGCCGCCACCGGATCGGGGCCCGGAGGGAACTCCACCCTGATGTGCACATCACCAGGAAGTGACACGACCATGCCGGGCACGCTGGGGGCGGGGCCACGGTAATCCGAGGGAAAACTCTATGTTTGTCCCTCGGATGGTCGTGGCCCCGGCCCCAGCGTGCCCGGCGTCGTCACATGACTTCCTGGTGATGTGGATGCGGCGCGCGCGCTTCGGGATCAACCCAGGAGTCCCCCGCTCCGCAACAAGGTAGGACTTGGCAACCCTACCCATAAGTGTGGAACAACCTCTCCAGGGAGGTGTGCCTGCCCCCCTCACTGTCGATCTTCAGGAGGCAGCTGAAGACAGTTTTATTTAGAGCTGCAGTTTGACTGATTCAGCTTTTATTATTGGCAGTCCTAATTGGAGTTTTTAAATTGTGACTTTTTATGGATTTTATAATTGTTTTCATTATATTTTTATAATGTTTTATTTATATCGTGAGCCACCTTGAGTTCCGCAACAGGGAAAGGTGGCTAATAAATGTTTTAATTCTCATTCCCAGTACTTTTTAGGGGAAATTAACAGACGAAACTGTAAAGTGTTGTAAAATAAAGGGGGTGGGAAACCACCACAAAATAAATAACACATGCCATCTGCAAATACACATAACTGAGAGGAAAAATATACAGCTTTATGTACAAGGATCTACTCTTAAATCTGTTACCTACTTCAAATTTCACTAAAGGGTTAGCATTTACAATGAAGAGTGGTAAGAAGATCAAGAAGACCAAATACAGGTATAGCACTGTTTCCCTAAAATCCACAGTTTGCAAATAGGGAGACTGCTTCAGAACTCAGGTGGGTAGCTGTCTTGGTCTGAAGCAGCGGAACAAAGTTTGAGACCAGTAAAAGGTCAAGGTAAAGGTTCCCTTGCTCAAAAGCCAGTCGAGTCCGACTCTAGGGTTGCGGTGCTCATCTCCGTTTCAAAGCCGAAGAGCCAGCGCTGTCCGAAGACGTTTCCGTGGTCATGTGGCCGGCATGACTAAACACCAAGGGGCACGGAACGCTGTTACCTTCCCACCGAAGCGGTACCTATTTATCTACTTGCAATTTCTTGCTTTCGAACTGCTAGGTTGGCAGGAGCTGGAACTAGAGACGGGAGCTCACTCCGTCATGCAGCACTCGGGTCTCGAACTGCTGAACTACCGACCTTCCGCAGCCTGCAGTTCAGCGTCTTAACCACTTGAGCCCCCGCAGCTCCTTTGAGACCAGTAGCTGGACTCAAACTTTGTTCTGCTGCCTCTGAAGTGAGTGTTTCCGATGCAAACTGCACCTTTCTGGAACGAATTCCTGATCCTTTCTTGTGTTCGGCTCTTCTTGATCAGGGTTCATAAACACGCTTCAGAGTCTGAGTCTGAATCCTGCTCACTGAGAACCAAGGATCGTGTTAACTACAATGCAGATGTAATGCCAACTCCTGGTTAAAGTTGACAAGGAAGGGAGGTAGAATTCATGGCCAAGATAAGAGATCCTCCTCTTATGAAGGCTGGCTCGCAGTTTGCAAACTATGGTTACCAGAGAGCCCACATTAAACTTTCATCGGACCTAGAGATGTAAAATTTCCAGAAATTTTGAAGCTCGGAAAAAACCCCGATTTTTTTCCGGGAAAAAACAGAAATTTTCGGAAAAATTGAAAAAAATGCTACATTAGCATTTCTTTTGTCTTTTCTACATTGAAAGTCATTCTGTTACTTTAGGAACATAAAATATGACTATGGACATTTTTACTTGGCATGAAATTATCACAACTAGCATATTAAAAATATAGGTAGCTGTCTTGGTCTGATAACATGAAATTATCACAACTAGCATATTAAAAATATAGTGTATCCAAACAATTATTACAAACAGAATACCCACCCACATGCAAAAACAAAACTGAAACTTTTTTATTTTCTTCTGACAATCGCACCTCCTAAAGGAAGAAATGCATCTTGTTCTTGCATTGGAGAGTTCAGTTTGTAACCTAGGACTTGCTTGTCCTCAGTGCACAGAAATTAGATCAATCTGATACCATATATATATATTTTAGAAATGATTTGGAAAATATTTGAACACCTTGTCTTAAAATATTTTATTCATCATGTTAAAATAAAACGTTCCATAATTAATTTTTTTTTCCTTTCCTTTTCTTTTTTCAATTTTTCCAATTTTTCGGAAAAAAACAAAAAAGGCTTCAGGAAAAAAACGAAAAAAAACACGTTTTTTTCCCGAATTTTTCCGGTTTTTTTCCGGGCCTTCACATCTCTAATTGGACCTCACAGGATGGTGTAGATATCTGAACAGCAGTTGCAAACAAAACCTGTCCACAATGCACACAAACAGCAGTTTCTGACAACACGTGTAAAAGATATCTCCTTACCTGTTTTCGGATTGATGATGAAGAAATTCTGGGGATTTCCACTGGTAATCCGATAGCTCATCTTCTCATTTGTGCTGGCGTCGGGATCCTGAGCCTGGATCTGGATAACCGATACATCCTTGGGTGAGTTTTCCAAAACTGATGGGTAGTAAATGGGTTCCGAAGTTAACGGGGCATTGTCATTCACATCTTCGACTTCTATGTAGACTTCAATGGTGGTGTAAAGAGGGACGACACCTCGGTCTGTTGCGTACACAGTTAGCCAGTAAGACTGGGTTGTCTCTCGATCTAGGACATCTGCCGTATATATAACTCCTGTAAAAAGAAATGGGGAAAGATTCAGGCTATTGGGGGGAAGAAATCAGACAAAGAGCGATTTCTAATAGGAAAGTGTTCACAAAGAACGTACAAGGGAGCTTTCTGATTTCATTGCATGAGATTCGACACCAGCAGCCAGAACTACCATCAAACCACTATGTGAACATCAGCTTCCTTTAGCTCAGGAGCCTGGATACATGCATCTCTCCTCTCTTGTTTTCTCTCCCAGTTTTCCTCCACTTTCCTCCCCTTATCATCATTGTCTCAACTTTGCTAACACTCTTGGTGGAACAAAGTGGTGTCACGTCACAGCTGATTTATGGCAACACCCCATGAGATTTTCAAGACAACAGACCTCCCTGCCTCCTTACTGGGCCTCCGCTCAATGGGTCAGAACTGCATATTAGAGTCCCCCAGCGTGCCTGGCGTGGTCGCGTCACTTCCTGGTGACGTGGATGCAAAACGCGTGCACGCGCACACCAGGATCGACCCGGGAGTCCCCCGCTTCAGGACGAGGTACGACTTGGCAACCCTAATTGTATACACTGTCTTTTATTAAATTTGATGTAACCTGCCCTGAGCCTGCCATGCGGGGGAAGGCAGGATATAAATGAATAAAATAAATAAATAAATAAACGAACAGAGGTGGTTTTCCATTGCCTGCCTCTGCATAGCGACCCTTGACTTTCTGGGTGGTCCCCCACCCAAGTATTAACCAGGCCTGATCTTCCTTAGCTTCTAAGATCTGATGAGATTGCACTAACCTGGGCCATCCAAGTCTGGGCGCTAACTCTCCCAGCACCCAACAATTATCTACAGATTTTCCGTGCATGCCTAAAGCACACACAATGAAATCCGTCAGTATGCAAGTTGATATGCAGCACAAGCTATACACGAGATGTACACTAATTCCAACACAGGAGTGCTTCATGTTCAAGACCCCTCGTGGGGTTTTCAAAGCAACAGAGAAACAAAGATGGTTTGTCATTGCTTGCCTTTGTGTCACAATCCCAGACTTCCTTGGTGGTCTCCAATGCTCCCTCTAAGCTGTGGAGTCTTGTGAGCAAAAAATGCTACTTTGTGAGCTACTGGCATTAAAGTTGTGAGTGAGCGATTTGGCTACTGCGTACATTAGTTTGCTCTGGAGCAAGACGCCTAACCGTGACAAAGCTAGGCAAGTTTGTGACAGCATTTTCCTGGCAATAAGCCAAACTGAATACATCTGAATAGCGTTCTGACTAGACCTGTTTAGAATTGCTCTCGGAGTGACCTAAGGATACTCCCAGTCAATGCTCCCTCTAAGCTGTGGGGCAAAAATTCTATTTTGTAAACTACCGGCATTAAAGTTGTGGGCAGGTGATTTGGCCACTGTGTAAATTAGTTTGCTCTGGAGCCCTCCTTCCTGAGCTGAGACAAAAACGTTTGAGCCGGAGGCTAAAAAACTGTGAGCCAGCTCACGCTAACTCAGCTTAGAGGGAACACTGGTGGTCTCCCATCCAAGTACTAACCAGGCCTGACCTTTCTGAGCTTCTGAGATCTGATGGGATTGTGCTAGCCTGACCCATCCAGGTCAGGGTGCTAACTCTCCCGGGATCCCACAACTGTAGGGTTGCCAGCCCCCCAGGGGGAGCAGGGGAACCCCCACTTTCGCAGGCTCTTGCCTGCTGCTGGCCAGCAAGGGGGGGGGGATCTCACACCAACTGATGTTTTTGGGCCTACTTCCAGTTTTGGGCCTACTTCAGGTGTACTTCCGGTTTTAGACCTACTTCTGGTTGGGGGCGGTGCTCTGGCTTTGGGGCAAAACTCTATGGGTTGAAGCTGAATTTACCATAGAGTTTTGCCCAAAAACCATAGTGTTGGCCCTGATAGTGTTGGCCCTGACTTGAAGTAGGTCTGAAACAGGAAGTAAGCCTGAAACCAGAAGTCGGCCCACAAATGCCCAACATCACATGTGGTCTTCCAGAAGGATGCCGGGAGACCCCCCCACTGCCCAGGTAAGTCAACCTGGCAACCCTACACAATCCGTCAGTGTGCAAGTTATCATGCAGGACAATCTACAAATGAGATGTACACTAATTCCTAT